TATATATATTAAATTCTTTTTTCATTCTACCCACTTTAAGTGTTATATTTTATTTTATTTTACCAAATATTACAATTATCGTAATTCTGTTATTCTGGCCTTCCGGCCGACTATCATAAGTGGTCACCCATTTATGTTACATTAACTGAGTTAATTTTTATTATTCTCCTTCATTCCTTCAGTTGTGTTAGCGATAGTAGGGTCTGGAGGGGTGTTCCCGTCACATTTGTTTATTTGTTTTCCTTATTAATTCATTAGTTAGTTTAAAATTCTTGATAACTGTTATTCTTATTTTATTTCCATTTTGTTTTTAGTATTAGTTAATAATAGGTTGGAGCTCATGATTCCCTTACCAGTAATTGTCTTACTGGTCAAGGGACTCAAGTATAACGGGTAAGTACCTTACATAAATTTTTTAATTAATTAGGGAATTATAGTTTAATTTTTATTAGTTATATACAGTTAATAGTAGAATCCGGAGTAAGAACCTACCGGCTCTGCTGTCGCTGACGGGATTTCAGCTAAAGCTGAATTGGTTATTGATCCCTGTAGTTGTAGTTTATTGTTATTTTGATTTAATTCTTTTATTTTTACATTCATTACGTTAGTAAATTTCTTTTAGTACTGACTTTGACTAATTAGTTTTCTTTTTATTAAATATAGTTCCGTAATAGTCAAGTAGTAAGTAGTGACTGTAATTGCTGGTCGGCCGGGGAACCAGTGAACCAGTGAACTAGTAGGGTAGTAACATTTAGTCAACCGTTGAGACGGGGTACCAATGACCTCATAGCCATAAAAAACCAGCAAGAACATGTCGAGGGGGAACTCACCCCCAAATACCAGCACACCCGGCCCGTCTCATAGGGGACGTCAGGCGATGCCCGATTTACGTACCAGACCGATACCTGCTATCCGTATGGCCCCGATGGGTCCTCGGTTGGACAATTCGTCCGGGACTTCGGCTGCGGCCGAGGGGGCCCCGAGGATCGGTCAGGTGGAAAGTATCTTTCCTCCGTCGACCGATCCCTCTGGGGCCTCTCGGCCGCGGAAGAAGGCCAGGTCCGAGTCTGACCGAGGCTCATCGGGTGACCAAGACAAGCGCCCGCGAATAGGCCCTTCCTCCAGGTCGGAGGGAGAAGAAATCGTGACCACATCCACAGACCACTCCTCTACTGAGTCTGTAACTCCTTCCTCATCCAGATCTGCTTCCCCCTCTGGGAGTCCAATCCCAGATCAACCCGTACCCAAGCCTAGGGCTCCCGCCAGGACAGGGACTGCTCCTAGGCAATTAAGAACCCCTCCTCATTCTCCTTCCCCAATCTTGTCCCCAATCCCGGTGGACTCTACCNAGACATTAATCAACTAGGATGAAATTAAATGAGATGATATGAGATGAAATCTAATCTCAGTAAAATGGTGGTCATTTACTAAGATTTTTCAGTGGACTTTTTGGAGGATCCCGAGAAGTTACGTCCAGCGGCTTTGTTTCATTTTCCCACATTTGTGCACTTTCACAGATATTAAACGGTTAATAAACCACCATTATTACACAACTAAACCCGAAGAAACACTAAATAGACAAAATAAAACAAATCACACAACTTCACTCTTCGCGTTCCCGCCAAAAAGTCCCCAATTGTAATTTGCCATGTTTTACGCATAGATTAAACCACAGAACACTATTACTTCTAGCGAAGGACTAAACACTTAATTTAATTGAGATATTATATTGGTTTTACGTTTTACGGAAATTTATTATGTGTATAATCTTAAGTGTATAATCTATGGTACGAAGGAAAAATTGTACCAAAATTATATTTCATTCCATATCATCTCATCTCATTTCATTTGATTTCATCCCAGTTGATTAATGTCTCAAATCAATCATCTTCATTTCATTTCATCATTTTTCATATTCATTTGCCATTTTTTCAATGGACTTTTTGAAAGATCCTAAAGAGGTTACGTCCAGCGGATTTGTTTCATTTCCCCACATGTATGCACTTTCATAGATATTAAACAATTAATTAACCATCGTTATTTCACATTTAAACCTGAAGAAACACTAAATAGACATAATAAAATAATTCACACAACTTCACTGCTCGCGCTCCCGCCAAATTGTCTAATATGAATATATTAACATGGATATCTAGGTAAGTTTGAAGTCGTCGTGGCCTAAAGGTTAAGACGTCTGGTGCATTCGTATTGAGCGATGCACCGGTGTTCGAATCCCACAGGCGGGTACCAATTTTTCTAATGAAATACGTACTCAAATGTTTACGATTGACTTCCACGGTGAAGGAATAACATCGCGTAATAAAAATCAAACCCGCAAAATTATAATTTGCGTAATTACTGGTGGTAGGACCTCTTGTGAGTCCGCACGGGTAGGTACCACCGCCCCGCTTATTTCTGCCGTGAAGCAGTAATGCGTTTCGGTTTGAAGGGTGGGGCAGCCGTTGTGACTATACTGAGACCTTAGAACTTGTATCTCGAGGTGTATGGCGCATTTACGTTGTAGATGTCTATGGGCTCCAGTAACCACTTAACACCAGGTGTGCTGTGAGCTCGTCCACATGTCTGCAATAAAAATAAAAATAAAAGTTTACGACCACTTGGGCTGGCTAGCTCATAAATGGTCTGCATTTCACTGAAATATATTGTTAAAATTTTGACTTTTACCTTTACCTGACTTTACCTTTGATTGACTTTACCTTTTTTATCCCATTTCATTAAATACTCAAATTAATGAATTTCATCCCATTTCGCTTCATTTTTGTTTTCATATAATTCAATATTGGAAATTTTACGTGCCGCGGCCCTAATGTTATTGTTCGGAGCTTTTTTAAGCAAGCTTTTCGTAAATGTCGTAGCACGATTGCAGGCATCTGTGAAATATATTTTTTGTATGGTAGTTGCATACACTCTGTTCTTACACCGGTCACTCACATGCGCACGAATATGCAAACCCGCAACTGTAGGACGACATTTGCAAATGATTATGCAAAGTTTTCGCTGCATTCGTGGTTTTCCAAGCTGTGTCGGTTTTTTAACAGACATCAAAGCGCGCGAACCTCGAACCTTCGCGTAGTCTCCCACACATTCGCTTGCCCAGTTGCGCCGACGATTGCGAAGATAACGGACGTATCGCCATTTTTTCATAGTTCGTGACGTCTACTGTGTCGTGTGTGACATTTTCATCAAAAGAAATCCCATAAAAACAGCATGACTGTTAATGATGTCTGGGAAAGAATTCAAAACTCTTTTTCTCTTCAATGTTCTATTGACGAATTAAAAAGGAGGAGAAATTCGTGAGACATTCGTAAACAAGTGTGGAAGGAAGCGCAAACGGGTTCGCAAATTGAGTACCGAACCCATTTGCACAGCCGCTAGGTTTGCGAATGAATGTTTGACGGCCCTTTACATGCGCGCAAACATTCGTACAATGTACGAGTATTTGTACGCATGTCAGTGGCCGGCATTACACCGGTCACTCACATGCGCACGAATACGCAAACCCGCAAGTGTAGGACGACATTTGCGAATGATTATGCAAAGTTTTCGCTGCATTCGTGGTTTTCCAAGCTGTGTCGGTTTTTTAACAGACATCAAAGCGCGCGAACCTCGAACCTTCGCGTAGTCTCCCACACATTCGCTTGCCCAGTTGCGCCGACGATTGCNATGTAACAAGATCAATGAAATCTCAAGGTGGACAAAAATGTCTAAGTAATACTTAATAAAATATTTAATATTTGTTCAGAGTGGGGGTTCATCTGATTAATCCATGGAATAACCGACACACCTAATCTCTTAACCCAGATAGAAATATCAGCACTGTCGATTGCACCTATAATTGAGGTGATGTCTGCCATGTACTTTTGTCAGTTTTTCAATTTTTTTTACTGATGATCACTTTGTTGGTGCAACTAAATAAATAAATTAATTAAAACTATATATAAAAATAAAAGTAGTGCCAACCCTAGCAATTTTCTCATTTCGTCCCAATTAACCGCAATTTTCGGGTAAATAGGGATTACACCTATTTTTGCATTTTTTGCTTAAACTGGAATGCTAGTTGCATAATTTTAAATTGGACAACAAAAATGCCCCCAAGACTCAATCATTTTGATCCAGATATAGCATTATATACATCAACAACTACCTTAAAATTGCTCATAAAGTTGGAATTTGTCCCTAATCGCCCCATTTTACGGTACTGTACGTAATTTTTGCTGTTCAGAAAACCTAAAACAAATCTCATAACCGAATCAGATAATTGAAGAAAATAGAACAAAAAAATCCATAGTAGTTAGGCAGCAGAAAGACAAAGTATTTAAAGTAAAAGTATTATAATCTGTTAAAATTTTAAGGCCCTATGCTTCGATCAATAATAGTACGCCCTATGTCTAGAAATTATCTGATGTCAAAGTTTTTTGTTTACTAAATCATTAATACACAGCAAATTCTGAAGTAGATCTTGAGATTAATTTTGAAAAGTCATAATGGCTTTCGTTTACCAAGGAGATGCCGAATTAGAAACTAAAGCAAAGAAGGGTAGGTATTCAAAATACTTAAAAAGGGCATTGCAGATCAAATTATACTTCCTGCTTATATATCAACGAATATGAGTAGTTGAGCTTACGATCCATCGCTTGCTGGATCTCAAAGACCGGGTACTGCTACCTGAATGACACTACTCCTTAAAATTGGTAGCTTTGTGGGGATAATGGTCGAAATAAAAGTATTTTTCATGATGTTCCAGCTGCCGAAAGAATATCTGAGAATATGCACATCGTAGCCAACGAACCTTCACTAGCACTGTACAGATTACAAGAACATGTAAGGAAGGCCTTGCCTCCTATGGTGGAAAGAAGAGTTGAGGTCACAAAACTACAACATGAATTGCAGGGGAGGTGTTATGATGTTGAATATGCATTAAGGTAAATTTAACTCTCATAACTTAAGTTTTCTATGTTCAGATCATGTTACATAAATATAAATATATCATGATTGACTTTTGAAGTGTACATTCTGTAAAATATATAATTTAATATATCTAAATATATTTAATGATTAAAATATATTTTAATAATAGGTTGGGGAAAAAGTTTCTTCACATTTTTTAAGAAAATTCACAACATTTTTTAATATCAATTATTTATATTTAACTAAAGCATGTAGGTACCATTTTGTTCGATAAGTTTTTGCCATCTTGCTGGTAGGGACATGATTCCATTGCTATAGAAATTTTGGGGCTTCTGATCAAAATACTGCGACAATTGGTTTTGGCAGTCCTCTCGTGATGTTAACCTGACACTGCCTAAAGAATTCTGAAGAGGCTGAACTGATTTTATTACAAGTTCATACATACTATAATGTGAAAAGACTTTTTCCCCAACCTATTATATTTGTATATATCAATATAAATATATTTTGCCTTCAAGTTAATGCCAGCTTACAACCTATTTCTGCTGTACATGTTTTGTGTTTGAAGGAAACAAAACTCCTTTGAAATATTACATTGTTTATGGTCTTTTATGTCTACACAATTGCATAACGTTTTCTGTATATTTAAATTTTCAGTGCTGTAAAATCTATGGATGGTGCTGCAACAAGCTTTAAAAACATACAAGAAATGTTAAAACAGTGCATATTTTTAAAGCAGCAACTAAAATATGAAGAAAGTAGGAGAAATAAAAAAGATTCCAATTCTGTGTACAAACGTCTATCTGCTCATATAGTTTTAGATCTCCCAGACCTGTCTGAGTTCTCCATGGTACGTGAGACCACTAACCGAATCGAGAATATGATGGCTCATGCTAGGGGCTCATCAGCCGAACTCCACAGATCACATACAACTTTACATTGAATTGTAACTGTATGGTTGTTGTGTTCAATTAATATGGAATTTGTGTTCATGGTTGCATATAAGAGAGGCACTATAGTAAACATGAATATTAAGCTTATTTTTTGGTCTCAGTAATGTATACAAAAAAACTATTGATAAACATGCTGTAGCATAGGTCTAGTGACAATATCTTTTGTTTGTTTATGTCATGTTTGAGCCAAAATAATAGAGGTCTCTCTAAGCCAAATTGGAAATGATTATTGCTTCCCTAAGTGGTTTGATTTAAAGTTGAAAATGGTTTATCAAATTTGATTACTCGATAGAGGTGTCATTTTACTAAAAACATCAGAATAAATACATTGATGAGTACTGATTGGATCTTTCAGTGCTGATGATTAATGCGGGCCTCTTCTAGTTGTAGCCTGTCATGGATGATATTGGGATTATGAAAAAAATGTAGGAAATGTTGTATTTTATTGTATATTATCCAACAAAATTGCAGGTGCATTTTGAATGATTACTTGCAAGTATTTTAGATCTTTACTATTTCTTGCATTTATCTAAATCATCCTATTACTTAGGTTTTGGCAATCAAATAATTTAACTTTTTAGTTTTATTATTAATCTTATACACATTGGTAGACTGCACCTGAAAGAAACAACTCACTGTATTTAAAAGTTACACCATGTCATTAATAACGTGGTAAGATTTTAGAGTCAATTTTGCAATCACCAAATAGGGTATATTATAACCAGTCATAGCCTTACTATTTACGAAGTTTTATGAAAATGATTTGGTGATTATGAAATTATCAACATTGAGAGTATCCTAGTCAATTAATGTCCAATCTCTGTGTCCCGTTACATTGGTATTATACAAGCAAGCATTTTTTTTAAATCTTTTGTAATGTATCATGGCACCCCTCATTCACTATGTTAGAAATTTAGCTAGTACCTCGACCATTTGCCCTTAGCACACTTCCTCCGCGAAATGAATCGCAAATCCACTCCACGTTCCGCTCATCGGACTTGACTATATTCACTACATTACATCGCAAATCGAGCAAGAGCACATTACTATCAAAGTTTGAATACAATGTGCTGAGTGCGAGTTTTTTGATGTGACAACGTCTTATAATTCGATGGAGCCGGCTGCACGCACGAAAAAACGTGACTCATGCGGCGTTACCTCGCTCTGAGGCGACGTGAGCGATGCATCCGCATGGACAGCTGCTATACAATAATACATTTACGTTTTCGTCAAGTATGAAGTTCAGTGAAAAGTAAATGTGGTGTCAGTTGTTTATAGCAACGATAATTGCGATAATTGAAAAATGAAACCATTCCATCAGTATTTTCTTATGACGTTGACACTCACGTTCAACTATCGTCAGTAAACCAACTTTACAGACAACCGATTTTTTAACTTCTCGTAGGGGCGCTGTTCCATACAAATTTGAGTTAACTATTACGCAATCGAGAAGTTAAAAAACTCGCACTAAGCACACCGGTGGTTATTTTTGGTTTATTTTCGTTTCGCGGCGGAAGGGCTTACACTTAACACGTTAAACTGAACTATAGGATGCTGTTTAAGCGGGACTTTTTGTACGTTTTTTTTTTTGCTTAAGCACGCAAGAAAAAAGTTCTTAATGCATCGTTGGAGGAAAGGTTTCTCATTATTCACAATTTCATAGCATATCAGTCAATTTCAGTAACTGGTTTGGATCAATTTCAAATGCATTGCTAAGAAAAATTTTAAATGTAGGTATCTACGAAAGCTGGTTTTGTGAATGCATTTGCTGCATTAATAACGTCGTACATTGGTATGTAACCATTTGGTTTTATAATAAATAATGTGAATTATGTATAACAGCCCGTTTTATTAATGGCATTTGGATTACATATTTTGCTAATTGGTGTTGGAATCTTTTATTTTCATTGCTAACTTTGCTTTTGATTGGTAACCCAAAAATAATCAAAGTCAAATGCTTTGTTCCATAATTTATTTTCACATTTAACATAAAATTATATAATTAAGTTTAACATAAAATACACATGTTCTTAAAATGACTAAAATCAAAACCTTGTTGTATTAACAATATTCATATTCATGCTTAAATCTTCTACACTTTTCGCACACCCACTAAAAAGACACCTGCCTTTAGAGACTGCGCGTTAACTTACTACCATTTATTTTAAAACGAAATTTACGCTTTTCTCATTTTCTATCACCAATCGAAGGGATCTTAAACGAACTACCTATGAAATATAACAGACCAAGGCAATTCCTTCAAAGTGTTTATGGCGTATTTCGGTTCAAAAGCACTAAGCGCCTTGAGTGCACGCTGTGAAGGGCTTCTTTTCAATTTACGCGGCAGTATTGTCTTTAACCAAGAATACGAGAATAGATCCTCGACCACTCTATTCCCTTGTTCTTTGCTTAAAATCGAATTGTAAATAAAATCAATGGGTATCTCGGTGACGACGTATGAGTATACTTGAGCGTTGTTGGTTTTCAATTTTTCCATTCTATCGAACACTTCCATCCAGTTCAAACTGTCTGAAATTTGAACGTTGACCAGCACCTGCGATGTTTTAATGGTGTTTTTAATCACTACATAGCATAAAACAAAGTCGCTTTCTCTGTCTCTATATCCCTCCCTATGTATGCTTAAATCTTTAAAACTACGTAACGGATTTTTATGCGTTTTTTTTTAATAGATAGAGTGAAGAGGAAGGTTTATATGTATAATAAAATCCATTAAATAGTGGAGAAATCAACAATAAATTACAGTTTCCGAAGCGAAGCGAGGGCGGGTCGCTAGTTGTTTTATAAATAAGCAACTCGACTGCGAAGAGCTTATTCTTTAAGCTTATTAAGTATGCATGCGTGGAGTATATAGCGCGGGCGAAGATCCGTTCTGTGTGCTAAGTGCGAGTTTTTTAACGTTCTCGTTAGCGTAAAAGTTAACTTAAATTTGTATGGAGTTGCAGTGTTTTCCTACGTTTGCCGCTAGGGGCGCTGTGCCAACTGCATACAAATTTGAGTTAACTTTTACGCTATCGACATCGTTAAAAAACTTGCACTAAGCATACTGAGCAGGGGATACGTAGATAGCGTATATTTTCCTCATGGCTCAGACTATCGCCACGCAGTTTTTGTCAAAATCGATAAGTTACTGAAAACGTAACAGACAGACCGAGTTAGTTTTTTACTGGTGGTAGGACCTCTTGTGAGTCCGCGCGGGTAAGTACCACCACCCTGCCTATTTCTGCCGTGAAGCAGTAATGCGTTTCGGTTTGAATGGTGAGGCAGCCGTTGTAACTATACTTGAGACCTTAGAACTTGTATCTCAAGGTGTGTAGCGCATTTACGTTGTGGATGTCTATAGGCTCCAGTAACCACTTAACACCAGGTGGGCTGTGAGCTGGTCCACCCACCCATCTAAGCAATAAAAAAAAAGTTTCTATCGACGAACGCAAACTTCCTAAAGAGTGCAATTACTCGGCTCGGCTTAGTACTCACCTCAGACGTATCGTTGATTATGAAATTATCAAAGTAATTTCCGAACATTTTCGTAACGTCCACGTCGTCTTTTAGATGCACAACAACAGTATACCCTTTCTGGCTGTACCTATCAACTAAGCTATCTACAGTACCGATGTCGTACGTGGTTCCATCGATGATGAAAGCCAAACGATTGGTCATAGGTAGATGAGATTCTACACTGCAATAAAAACTTGTTTTTAGTAGGTACACTTAATTCTACAACACGAAAATAAGTATTAAAGATTACATCTCCATTATCTCTGATTTTCGCGAGTCATAGACATAATCATTTGATTGACTCGGTGGTGCAATAGTTAGCCCTGACTGCTGTACCGAGGGTCGTGGGTTCGATTCCCGCATTCGGGCAAACATCGTGTGATGAATAAGTTTGTTTGCTTTGTGTCTGGGTGTTTATTATCTATATATGTACCTATATATTTAAACTTATGTAAGTATATTTATCTCTGGTACCCATAAAATAGGGAATCTTAAATTGGGGCCGAATGACCATGTATGATTTGTTGCAAGTTATCATTATTGTTATAATCCAGACTGATTTTACTGTTTAATCTTGCGTTTGACATGATATTAGTTTTGACGTATCGAATTGTAAAGTATCCGAGACGTCGGATGTAATAAAGTATAATGACAATAAAAATCGTGAGATTAAACCGTAATAGTAGTTTTATGATATATCATCGTTTGAAATAGTCTGCTATCTCAAATACTTAAATGAGGTGTGATTTTTAAGTGTTCTAGAATACTTTTGTGATAAGTAGCCAAATAAATTACATGCTAGAACTAATCAATAAACCATGTCCCTTCTTTTTCAAATCGTATAATATCGAATACATTGCTCGTTGTACGAAGAACTTTTGATAGGCCGTGCATTCGTCCAATATTAATATAGGCGGTGCGCCAATAATGGCAGCCGCGAAACGGACACGGCTACGATCAGCTGATAGCATCCGGCTAATCCTTGTATGGGCTAAATCCAATAAATCTGCAACGGAATTAATGGGTCACCGTTATTACCATTTTACTAAAAAACCAAAGGTATAACTATTATTAGAACCACTCGCGATTGTAGTCATATTATAATTAATTAAACAAAAGACGCCAATTTGCAATTTTGTTTCAATCTAATAGTTCTGATATAAATTAGGCCACCATCGTCGGTCACGCACAAGCCCGCCGCCGTCGAGCGGGGGCCCGGGAGGCGGATCTCGCCCAAGCCCTGGCCCTCTTAAGTGTTTCGGGTCTCCCTCACATGTCGGTCTGGGGACCGGCGAGGGGGGGCCTAAGAAGATGACGTGCAAGCTGCTCTGCACGCGTTTTACGCAAGAGCATCCGGGTGATGGAAGGCCGGCTATCTTCGACCCACGCTGGTTCTGGCCCAGCGGGGTATTCCGTAGGATAACTCTCTAACCGGCGCCATCTAGGCGGGCTTCAGATAGCCTGCGGACCGAGAGGGCTGGTGGTCTTGGCGCCGACGACCGCCGGTCCGGCGTCCCGAGGGGGAAGGTGATGTGTTCCGCACTAAACGCTTCACTTTCTCCCTTTGCCTTTTCATGAGTTCTGTCTCATGAGAGGTTTGGACGTTGGTTGTTGAGCGACAGGAGGTTTTAGTCGGTTCGACTCCGACATGCTCCGCCCACCATCTCCAGTGAGGGCGGAAGTCCAGAGATTTCATCCTGACCAGAAAAAAAAACCATCGTCGGTCGGTCTGTACCGACCGACTGTGCCGTATAATTTCTGTTCCAATATCTTAACTTTCTAATCGATTCATAATAGGATCGATAATACGATAAATCAAAATAGCAGCATAAAAGAATAGTTAGTTTGTATTGGAAAATCGGATGATCAATGTGATTAATAATACCTAAAGCTTCGATAAGGTCATTCAATTGTCGCTTAATATGATCCTTGGGGACACCTCGCAATGTTCCGATTAGTTCTAGAGCGTCGTATGCCGTCATCCACGTAGGAAGCGACACTTCCGAACAACTAATTGCAATTTGCTGGCAATACTGTGAAACATTTGAGAATTGAAGCACTTAATACTACTGGTAGGATGTTTCTTAAGATAGGTAGTTTTGTCAGCCCACACCGATAGGCAGTATTACCCTTTTTTTGGGCAGTAGCCTCATGCGAATTTTCCGCCCCCAAAAGCCACGCGTTGTGTGTGGATCTCGACGGTTTGCAGATGTTGGGGGTACATCGCGAGCCCAAGGATGTTTTCAGGGCCCTACCCACTATACGAATCAGACACCACCACGCTGCTTATTTCAGCCGAGAATCAGTAATGCGTTCCGGCTTGAAGAGTGGGATCGTTGTCATACTATAGAACTGAGGCTTAGAAATCGTGTTTCAAAGTGAATGACGGCATTTACGTTGTGGCTGTCTATAGGCTACCTGATAATTATGATTCCCACATGTATGATCCCCCATGAGATTATGATAACCACTTTACATCTCACCTTGATAATTATAATTATTATGACTTTGTTCTTGTATTTATAAATATATGTATATATGTACGTTATTTGTGTATGTATGTGTATATATATTTAAATTTGATATGTATATCGTGTAAAATTCATTTCTAACTGATTCTTGTCGACCTGATGGC